TGGCTGATCCTAGTGAGAGCTGTCCTTCTGGATTTAGATTGTACCAGTCAGGAGGAGTTAGAACTTGTGGCAGACCTTCCTCTAGTGTAGGTAGCTGTGTATCATTGAAGCTATTAGCTGATGATATCAGTTACTCTCAAGTATGTGGTAGAGTAGTGGGATATCAATATGCATCAACTGATGCTGCTGATTCTACTATTGGTACTAGTGCTCATAATGATATTAATTCTTATTATGTTGATGGTGTTAGTATCACTCATGGGTCTCCTCGTCAACATGTCTGGACACTAATGGCAGGACTGCACGAAGCTAGTTTTTATTTTATAGTAAATGATGGCCGATATAACTGTCCTTGTTCTCAAAGTAGTACACAAAATTCAACTCTTCAGTCTTTCATTGGTAATGACTACTTCTGTGAATCTGGCAATCCTGCTACTGATGGTACATATCAATTCATGCTCTACACATCTGATCCATTGTGGGATAGTGAAGGATGTGGTAGTCTTGAAGGTACTTGTTGTGCTGCTCCTAGTCTTCCATGGTTTCACAAGAAACTTAACACTACCACTACTGACTACCTTGAGCTGAGGGTGTGTGGAGATGAAGGAACAAACAATGAAGACACTCCTATCAGCTTTTATGAAATATATATCAAATAAACAGAAGTTTTAACACTTTCACTTGCATTTTTAGTTTGTCATTGTCATTCTTTACACTTTAGTCTTAGCAGCTATCTACCCATTCATATGCACACTTATCATAGTTAGTTTTTAAGATTAACGTATAGCTGGAAACTATTGAATGATTAAACTTTTGTGAATTTGCCTAAAAATCATTTTTGTAAATTTTAATTTTGCTAATCTGACAAAATCGCGAAAGCAGTGTGAGTTATTGGCGAAAACTTTTAGCTATGCCGTATACAGTTATTTTGCAAATTGTTTGTAATAATTTATAGCTACTATTTAATGTTCATTCCATTCCTACAAGAAAGAACTAAGTGCATGCAGAGCATTGTCTCCATCATTTCTTGATGAACAACCATACAACCTGTTACAGCATTGTTGTGTACTTGTACTTAGCAGGTCATATTTATAATCATAGAGTGTATAGCATTAAGTTTACAGTTGGTCTTACAGAAAACTGTATCCCTGGAGACATATGCTGATAATGTGTTTATTGCTTGTTTTACTGTCAATACATTTGTGATGCTGATTTCATGTAATTGCCTTTATGATTAGTCAGTGAAAAATACAACCGAGTGCAGATGCTTTTGTTTTTATTGGGATTTCATTGATAGCTTATTGCAATTACTCAGACAAAGTCTAAATAAAGAGTGATTACTTAGTGTAGACAGGACAGTATAGTATCTTGACTCTTCATTATCATAATAGTCTCAATGATTATCTCAACATTCGTTTGTCTTTGTATTATATTTTCTCAAGTTAATGCTCAGTCAAATACATTTGGTCATTGCAAGGAAGAGGTATGCTGTAACCAGCAGGCAAACCCACTGCTGACTTCTTGCAAAGACATCAAAAAGAAATGGAGCGATGGTCCTACTGGATACTATCAGCTTAGTAGTACTAAGAGAGGTCCTGTATCAGTGTATTGTAATATGGATGAGCTGTGTGGCTCTAGAGGAGGATGGACAAGACTTGGATATCTTAATATGGCTAATCCTAGTGAAAGCTGTCCCTCTGGATTTAGACTGTACCAGTCAGGAGGAGTTAGAGCTTGTGGCAGGCAGAACTCTAGTGTAGGTAGCTGTGTAGCATTGAAACTATTAGCTGATGATATCAGTTACTCTCAAGTATGTGGTAGAGTAGTGGGATATCAATATGCAACAACTGATGCTGTTGATCCTATTCTTGGTGGTTTTGGCTCTCACAATGATATTAATTCTTATTATGTTGATGGTGTTAGTATCACTCGTGGGTCTCCTCGTCAACATATCTGGACACTAATGACTGGATCACGTGAAAGTGGTACAGTTTCTGGTGGTCAACACAATTGTCCTTGTTCTCAAGGCAGTCCTCAAAACTCAACTCTTCAGTCTTTCATTGGTAATGACTACTTCTGTGAATCTGGTAATCCTGCTACTAATGGTGGGGTTCAATCCATATTCTATTCATCTGATCCATTGTGGGATGGTAAAGGATGTGGTAGTCTTGAAGGTGTTTGTTGTGCTGCTCCTGGTCTTCCGTGGTTTCACAAGAATTTAAACACTACCACTACTGACTACCTTGAGCTGAGGGTGTGTAGTGATCAAGGTACTGACAATGAAGACACTCCTATCAGTTTTTATGAAATTTATGTCAAATGAATAAGGACTTATGTTTGCTGTTCTATTATTGTCTACACTATATTAGTAACCTTTAGTTTTGCATTCATCCACACACAGATATGATTAGTTTTTTTAAACTATTTTTTGTAATCGCTATTTATCTATAACTTGTCTTGATATTTATGTTAATGAAAACTATTAGTATCAATCCTTGTCTATTGCATTAATGCAATTATAAAACCTTGTTGCATTGTTTTGAACTTGTAGTTTGCATATGATACAACTGCTAGCCTTTTTGACAATTCTGAAACAATTAAGTACATTGCTAGGGGAATGATATTATATAAGTATACATTGTTATGTTCTGTGATTAGCTCTTATTTTTTATTTCGAAGGGATTAAATTTTATGCTTTATGCTTATGTACACATTCTGCACATGTGCAGTGAGTTTTTTTAAGGTATTCATTTTGTGGGTAAGAAATTACTCATAAAATTTGTAAAAATTAAATACCTGTGTTGTTTTAAAGTATTGCCTATTAAAGTGCAAGGTATTCTGTATGGTGTATTCATATTTATTTTTGTGTAAAGTACACCGCATTTAAAGCAAAAGTTACCATACTCATTAAAACTATCAATAGCATTATTTAAAATTATTGTACCATGTGTTCTGTTTTATTTATTTATAGTTGCCTAAAGATGAATTACGTCTTACAGTCCGCCTGGCACAAGAATTCTCCATTTGTGATCAGTTGAATTCATTGAGCCAGTTACTGCAGTATTGCAGGGAACACCTACCACAGGACAAACCAGGTATAAAGCACATATCCACCAATATATAATTATCAATATATAATTACCCAATTTTAGGTTCAAAAGGACTGCGTTCCCTATCTCCTGATGCTTGCCTTATATTTGATGTAAGACTGCATAGTTTAGAGAAACTGAGAAGTTTTAGATCAACAGTTGTATCAGTAACATCACTGATATTGGAGAAGATGAAGAAAGAAGGAAATAATGAAGAAATAGAGATGAACCATGAGCTAATAATGAAGTATGTGCATGTACATTTGTAACGCTTGCATCTTATACATTGCACATCAACAAATGTGTGTATTTTAGCATACTGCCCTTGTCTGTGGATTGTCAAGTTGCTCAAAAATTGGGCCAAAGGCGCTTGACTATATTACATGGTATTTCAACAAAATCACTAGGAAAAATTCACCTTTTTAATAATTTTTTTGATACATGTGGGTTTTTGCTTGTCACATATTTCGTGACAATGGAATCAATGGGTTTTTTGTTTGTCACAGATTTGTGACAATCCAACCAATGGTTTCTGATGCATACATGTACTTATGTTGCGCCTCTTTCTCTCTAGTATTCTTCAAGAGTGTCTATACTACATCAATGCATTGAATAAATACAAAGGTTCATCATCAGGTGATGCACCCACCATCAAGTATTGGGACTCACTCATTGATAAAGTCAAAGACCTCATTGACAAGGTACACTTCCATTGCCATTGATATGATATGATATTTATGAACATTAGGCTATATAGACAATGCATGAGCTTAGTCATAAAATGTATAGAAAAGGCTTCTCCATTTATTTACAATTATTTTTTTTCTTTTCTCTGTCTCCAGTTGGTGTTATTGCTGTCAGAGACTGATTTCCTCAATGTATTATTACAGTTAACTGATACCGACTCCACTAGCAGGAAAGCAATAATGGTACTTACTAAAAAACTGGAGGACAAGAAATGGACCATCACTCCAGAACAGGTTAGAGAGAGAAAGAAAAATATAGTATATTGTGCATTCTTGCTGTTATGTACTGTACTGTGATTTTCTTTAAACTTGCATAATAAATAAAGCACTAAAGTTGATATCCTTGCCACGTACAATCTGTTTAAGTAACAATTGCTTGGTTAGAACAGATGCCTGAAAGTAAGAGTGAAACTTAAGTAAAGGTGTGGCTCAAAGCTATACTTCGCCTACACAGATTTAGTGGTGCCTGGACTCAGTGGTTTGGTTTTCCTACTGTTTAGCACACATTTGTTAGGCTTTATTTGTTGCATACAAACTGTTATTACATCCATGCATGATGTTTGAAGACTCTGACTGCTTTTTCTAGAGAAGAGAACCTCATGCAAAATGACTTGAGTAAATATGTTTGGGCTATCATACCATATCTACATGTATGGCTCAATATAGGGAAAGTAAAGTTGAATTTTTCGATATGTTAACTTGTTATCATGGTTATTCATGTTATACTAAAGTAGGTACATGTACTACTAAAGCATATAAACCCAGGATATAATATCTGGGTTCTGTTAACTGGTTATCATGGTTATTAACGTTATTACTAAAGCATATAAATCCAGCATATAGTATCTAGGTTCTGTTAACTGGTTATTATGGTTATTGTCATTACTACTAAAGCATATAAACCCAGCATATGATATCTAGGTTTTGTTAACTGGTTATTATAGTTACTGCTGATGTTAAGTAAAACAATTAACCTCAATCTCTTACATAAAATTTTATTTAGATTGTGAGTTTTAATTCTGATTTATTTATTTATTTGTTTAGTCTCATTATCTCTATATTATTCAATTCTGTTCCACATATTGTTGGTGGAACCATTGGCCACACCCATCACATTTGAGATGTGGCTTTGCTCCAGCCCCCTTTTCAGGATGCATAAGGATGCCTTAAAACAATTGACTTCCTTTTCCTAACAATTTATACAACAATGACAATTAAAATGTACTTGCAGTTTTGTTACCTTATTGGAACAAACATCTTTGCTGATGGTTCCTGATGAAGTAGGAAAATAATCATGCATCGGAATCTGTACAGTACAATAAAGTACATAAACGTTGTTTTGTCACTGGCTCTTCTCTTACCAATTCAGTATTGCTATGGGTCACTTGAGACAAAGATATGGGTGTAGATACATGAGTGACATCTTCAATTAGAATCTGTATTGTATGATAAAATACATAAATTTCACAATTCCCATTTAATACAATTTTTAAGATGCATATTTGAATATTAAAATCTTACTGTATTGTCATCCGCTTGAGATTTAGTGCACACTAAAAATAGGCATTATTTTATTATACACAATGCACAATATGGCACTCACTTTGATCCAACATTTGAAGTATGTCATCACTAATCTTTATACGTGGTATAAATGCTACTGATCTTCTGTTTATACCAGTATTTCTGTTTATAACAGTCTCTTTAGAAGTAGTTGATAAAAATAGCCCGGAATGATTTATTGATCCTCCACATTTCCTTATGGCATCCTTAACATCTCCCTCCATTTAGGGAGACAAGAAAGATGACATGTAATCTCTCACCATCACCATATATAGACCAACAGAGGGACCTTTCTTTGTTTGTCTTGACACAAGCTCTCACCATTTGTAATATCATAATATCTATGCATGATAAAGGCTAAATGAAGGATTGTTAATATCGACTATGATAGCTACTTCATGTGTCTGTAGTGTCTGAAGAATCTTGCAAAGCTCCATTAAAAAATCTGACAGTATACCCCCATTCATTGTGTGCAGCTTTTGAATAGTCGGTGCCCATTTTTCAATAAGAAAACTTTATGTCTTTATACTCAATGACATCAGAGGGTAACATATCACATAAATATTATATATGGAATAAATTTATTGGATACAAAATACATTATTTATCATACCAGTTTAGAGAATAACACTTTTGAACAAGAAAGTGTACACTGTCCAGCTTTTTACAAACAAATGGGAGAATAAAACCCTGCATATGCTCTGTCACTTCTTCAGAGAGTAGCTGTGATCCAAGTTGAATTACAGGTCCAACTATTGCTGAAGACTTTTTCTCGACTCTTTCAATAATGCTTCATATTTTAACAGCTCACATGGTAGTAACGTTTGATGTGGTGGGAAAAAGGGAACATGAACTATCCTTTGTGAATTCCTAAATACATAATCATGTTAAATATTTTGTTTCAATTACAGAATTTTAACCTCTCACTATCACAAAAGGGTGAATTGGCAGTAATTATTATAGTGGTACATGGCTTTAAAAGACCACTGCTGGCAGTGTTATGGCCAAACCCATTAAAAATTGCACAGCAATAGCTTCAACTTTCTTGGCACTACGAATGTCATCAATTCTTATATAAATTATAGTGAGTCATTATAATAGCAAAATTGAATTCACTACTATACCAATTGGAATTCTAGTGTTAGAAGCTTGCTTGACAAGGGTAGAAGGAGAAGTATTGGTCATGAGTGCCAAAGACACTCTCATAGATGTTGATTTCCCTACATGCATGTATTATATACAATCAGAGATGATAAATACGTAAGCTGCTACATTGATTGTATGTAAAGACATGCTCTACTTGCATGTATACAAATATGACCATATGATGCCTGTTCCAGAACAGGTACTATAGCACAGAGTAAGTGGGCACTCATCTTGGATACTCATGATAGACTCATAATGAAAGTTATTACAGCACCAACTAGTGTTATAAATGAGTTAATGAAATTATTAATAGCATAAGCATAATTTTGCTCCTTTTAACATAAAGTTCAGCCAGTGGTGCAAGTTGCAGTGGTAGATGGACCGGTAAGGGTACAATATTTTCAGAAATCATATAATCTAAGTGCCTATAAGTACAGTTAAAGTAATTCTTCTGGCTATATATATGCGACCATAATTGACAAAAGGTACCTTTTGTCGGATAGGAAAATTGGTCTTTATAGCCTTAAAAATGCAACTTCTTGAGCTCCATTTATCATAAAATTACTCCAGAGCATGCAAAAAGTTACTATGTAACTTTTAGAGACAATGGTTGACTAACAGAGCACTCACAGATTGATATTTTTCATTATAATGATGAATTTAAAAATCCGCCATAAGGTACCTTTTGTCAATTATGGTCACATATACTGAATTGAAATTAATTAATAATTATACCTACCAGAAGTAATTTTGCTCTTTCTTTGGTATAAGTGCCTGTTTCCTTCCAGCTGCAGGTTTGAATTTAAAACCCAAGTAGAAGAGTTTGGTTGCTTGCCAATGCACAGTACTAATGTTTTAATACAGTAATCGCCACTGATAACCATAATAAACCACTGATATAACTACTGTTAACCATGTATAACAACTGATAACAATGCATAACCACTGTTAACCATGATTAACCACCGTTAACCATGCATGACCACTGTTAACCATGCATGACCACTGTTAACCAAGAATAATCATATAACCACAATTAACCATGCACATGATGAATAACCACTTGTAACCTTTGACAGCCAAAAATACTGTCAATGTTGATACCTATTGATCCATACCTATTAATAGTGGTGGGGTTAAAATATACTTGTATAACCAAAAATACAAAGATAACCAGTTAACTTTCATTTTTATTGGAAAACCCTTTCCCTATATCTTGCCATGTCTAACTATGCAACATTCATTTCTGTGGTGTCACTGCCAGGCATGCAAAAAATGCAACACAGTTGTGCATGAGTAATGAATGACCCAATGGAGCATGAAAAATAGTAAATATTCTTCTACCATTCCTGTTTCAGAGGTTGCACGTCTACTGGAATTTTCGTGTACTTGCATTTACTTGTATTTTGAAAAAAGCAGGTCGTGTATGTACTTGTATTCAATTGCAAACTTTCATGTATGTACATTTACTTATTGCTTCCCAAATTCGTCTATATTTTGGTAATTTTTCATTTACTTTTCATGTATCCTGTACTTAAATGTTGAGTATTTGAAAGGATAATATCTTTACTGCCTTTTCTATTGCTGTTTTCATCATCTGCTATTGCTAGAAGGACTAAAAAGACCATCAA